AATGACTCTCTTGAAGTGATGGTCATGATGTACCAGTTTTCATTCTGATTTATGTTAGAATTTCTATTTGACAATTCACTTTCGCAAACATGAAGAATGACTCTCTTGAAGTGATGGTCATGAGTCATGACACACCTATATATTATGCTTTTCACAATGGAATATTTTGGAATTCGGATTGACAACTTTGTTACACGTGTAAGGAGTACGTTGCTACTACTCATCCACGACATGTTTGATATGATATTTAGTATCACGAAAGAACATTCCTGCATAACATTTTTATTAAAGCAAATGACAATGTACATAAATGAAAAACATTCATGCAAAACAAAAAAAAAATTGCAAACACGAATGCATTAATGCAAAAAATAAACAATTAAATGTCTTGGACTTTATAATTATATATCTCCTTCCAATATTTCAAATCCTAAATTATGTCATTTAGTTAGAAAGTTAAGAAATCATATTCTCTCCACGCAATCGATTGCAACGGGATCGCGACGCATATGAAACATTAAAACTAAACAGATCTTGCAACTGATACAAATATTGTTAGGGAAATTTAGAAATTTCAACCACTCTACATGATGATGAAAACATCAATAGAAGGAAAAGTGTAAATATAATGATCTATTTTAACAACTTAATAGCACCTGTTGTTAACAGTGACTAAATTTGGCACCGGTGAGTTTTGGTTAATGCTAATGACTTAGCTAGCGACTAATACATTTTATCCTAGAATTATCGGTCTCTAAATGACAAGTTTTGTTAATCAAATTTATTAGCCATAAATAATTACTATTTTTACAATTTAATACCGAGTTATTTAGCGATTGAATCATTAACGGACTTTATTTATATACTATTTTGTAACTTAGCAATTGAATCATTATAATGCTAAAATGCATTATTATGTGGAAAGTGTGCGGTAAAAGTGTAACAAACCGATGATTTTAATTAATAAGTAAATAGAAACAAAATATATTGTAGATTTTTAGGAATTAGTTTATGTTTTTTAAGTGTGATTATTATTATTATTATTTTTAGCACGAGCTTTTAGAGTTGTTTGTTTCTGCTCTATTTGCCATATTCTAATTTTATTTTTGTTAATCTCAATCGCAGTTGTTGGTGGTGTACTTGGCAGAGAGTCACGATGTTGTTCATTTCAGTTTGACAAACAATGTAGTTTAATTCAACTTTTATACGTTGTTATAGTACATTTGATTTTGACATACAATGTTTAACTTTTATGTACGTAGTTGAGTCATACGTACTTGAGTTTGATATATCAAGATTTTTAGTTTAATTTTGTTTATTTAATATCTCTCTCTCTCTCTCTCTTTTTTATTTTTTTTTATACTTTCACATGAAATGTTTATTTTAAAAATAAATTAATACTTTAACAATATTATTTAAATGTATGTTAATCAAATGATAATAAGATGAAAACCAACATGGAATTCATAATATTGAAATACAACAAATAATTTTGAACTATTTATTTGATAGCTTTAAACCAATATGGGACTTTGATTAAATAATCCCATATTATTCAAGAATAAAATTGTCGGTAGGAATTAAAATCATTATAATTTGCGGCGGTTAAAAGCTTTCGATAAATGTAAGTTATAAATTAATGAAGAATTCAATTTTTGGAAGCTCAAATCCGACCAATTAAATATAAATAAAACTTTTATTTCTAATCGATCAAGATCCGAACCTAGCACTTCTCCCTTGTCTCATGCATTAGGGGTGTTTTCCCTTCTAACATTTCTTTCGAGTCAAAATCCCCCAACTTTTGCCCCACCATCAGTTTCATTCTCAAGCATTATGGACACTCAAAGTTTGAATCTTTGATAAGCTACTAGGTTCTTCTTCTTCCCCTCAATGGGTCTTATGATGTCATTTCTCTCATAAATGGGATTTCCAACTACATTCTGGTGATGCAGACTTAAATGAAGGGCATTTGATGAAAGTGGTTAGGTCGCAAAAGTTGCTGAAGCTTGGATTTTAAAGATAGGTAACCAAGTAAGTGTCAATTAATCTTAAGCACACTCTTCTTCTTGAACATTTTGCAAAGAGAAAACACTATTCCAAAAGGCAAGATAATAGAAGCAAAGAAGTGATTGAGATTTTTTCTTTTGAAATAGCAAAGGTGATGTCCAAATACGTGCCTGAGATTGTGAAGCTCACAATCCAAACCCTTTAAAATCCAATAAATTTGAGAATTATCAACTGACGTAATTGATGATAAAAATGGTCGAAAGCGGGCCAAAAGTAAAACGGATCGATTTTCATCGGTTTCAGTAATTTGGGTTTGAAATCGGTTGAATCCGATCAATGATCAGGCCTACTTGATGTGATAGGAAAATGATGCATCCTCTGAAAACGTTGGCTGAAAAATTGTCCGAATAATTCGAGTGTGCAAAATGGGTGTATGCTCATGCCACTTGCTATCATATGCATTTTTTGGCATGAGTTAATTTGCACATATGTGCATCTGATTTGTGTAGCTATGTCATTTGGTAAATGACTAAAACATCTCAATTTTACTCATCTATTTGTTGTGATGACTAATCATTACCTAATGATTTATGTAATTTCATAATTCCTCTTTTTCATCTAGATCCAAATACTTTTGACACATGTATTCATAAAGGAAAATGTTGTAAACGGAAGCTGAAAATTGTCCGAATAATTAAAAAATTATTATTTTTAATAAATTTATTATAAAATAATTATTTTATAATAAATTTATTAAAAAATAATAATTTTTTAATATTCAGAACGTTTTTCGGCCTCCGTTTTCGAGGCTGAAGCGTTACTCGATGTGATATGATATGTATCTAACTCTGTATTGTTCATGTTTTATTGAGAAAAATTTAAATTCTACGTCGACTAGAGATTAGATAATTAAATAATATAAGTGGAAAACAACCCTTACCTTACAAGTTGGTATTGTAGGATTGAGTTAAGCTTAAATCTACTATTCTAAGATGGTATCAGAGCTATCCTAGATTCTTAAAAATGAGTCACTCACCATTCATTGATACATACATCATGGGCATTAAGCCTATTGTCATTTGCATGTGACTATGATATAGTTGAAAACATTATAAATGACAATAAAAAATAAAAATAACTTTTACTTATATTATATATATATTATATTTGTTGGTATATTTTTAAAAAAAATGTAAATATAGATTATAGTAACTCATAAAATATATTATTAAGTTTAAAGATAGCAAAATAGATCATAGTTTGTTAGTTTACTAAAAATTGACGGGTTAGATCAAGTATTCTAGCCTGCTAGCTCACCTAGCTTGTTAACCCTTTCTTTTAGGTTCTTTTTATTTATTTATTATTTTTATTATAATTTTAATTAATTTATTTCAAATATATTTTGTATATAATCTATGATTTATTGTACAATAAGTCTACTATACATTTGATTTATTTTATTACATGCAATTTAGGATTTTTTTTATTATTTAGATACATTGAATAATGTAAGTCCTTTAGATATTGAGGAAAAAATATGTTGGAAAAGTAATTTAATTTGAATAAAGAAAAGTATTTCTTTTTTCTTTTTTGTGGGACAGTAGGTTGGCTTGCAAGTTTGCCCTTAGGTGGAACGGGCTAGCATTTGTAGCCCGTTTTCTTTTAGCGGGCCAATCTGACCAAACAGTAGGTTAATAGTGAGTCGTGTCTAAATAGATTGAACTGACTCATTTTATCTTTCTTATTAAATCTCATTAAAATTAATATCAAAATTGTGAATTAATATATGTCAAATAAAGTTATACATATGTATTATTATATCTATAGTGATACTTTTTATAACTAATTAACTACTAACCTACACTAACAAAGGTAATTTAAATCGATTGCGTGCCAAATATTACAAGATAAGGTAAACATTCCAACCCTCCAACTTGCTTGCCCTATCCCTCCAACCCACTTGTCCTGACAACCCATTTAATTTTAAAGTTTAAATTTAAATTTATCTTGTAATTTATTTCATGTCATTATAGTTTTATTCATCTTTACTTTGTGAACTTTGTGTGTGATACATAGTTTCATTATTGAAGGATTAACATTATTTGTGTTATAATTATTGAGAACTATTATAATTTTGTGTTGTTGAAAGACTAGTGATTTTGATTAAAAGAAAATGACTTTTAGTAATTTGTAATATTTTAATATTTTTGTGTTGTAGTCTTAAAATTGAGTGATAAATTAATGTTATATGTTGTTGTTAAATAGATTTGGTTTATCTATTATTGTCCTCTAGGTATTTGTAGAAATGCCTTATCTAAGTTTTGGTTTTTATTTAATATGGGCATCTCCTTAAGCAGGTAATTAACAATTTAAGTTACCTTTGTTTGTGTAGGCTAGTAGCTAATTAGTGTGGATGAAGGCTTCTAGGATCGATGTACACTTCTAATAGGGATGCTTACATGTTATAACACCACTTGTGTAAAACAATATATACCGTATGGTGCCGAACAGGACGAGCGATCCGAACGCTTTGCATACCCGAACCCGCCGAGTACCCGACACCGCCGACACCACACGAACGTACGGAACTTGTCGGTGCGGTCGGCCAAGGTCAACGTCATTACCAGGCTTAATTACAAGTAAATTAATTAGCACAAACTTCGGATCAGTCCCCTAATTTCCCGGGGCCCAACCCATAATCACGGCCCAACACGAACACCTATAAATAGAACTCCTGAGAGGTACGCAACTACTTTTGACCTACCGCATTTATTACGCCGAGTACTTACTTGAGCGTTGGAGTGTCTTTGCAGGCACCCCCCCCTCTCGCTTCGGACCGCCCGGATTGAACGAGAAGACCGAGACCCAAGACCCGACCTACTACAACAAGGATAATTGGAGTGTGTATCCTAACACAGGAACATTTGGCGCCCACCGTGGGGCCGAAGAGACGTTTTCAGCCCCTTTCTTAACTCTACGACTGAGACCGAGATATGGTAGTGACCCGCAAAGGACAATCAACAACGACCCAACCGACTCACAACGTTAATACCGAAGCCAATCCCGCCATGACTAACCAAGAGCGTTACCCGTACGGAATGCCCCAAACTCAACCAGAACCCGTGATACAGCAGGTCCAGCCGAATACTGATCAAATCCAACCAAATTTACATGACGACCTCCGCGCGTTGCGGGAAGAAATGGCCACCATACGCAGGCAAAGAGAAGCCGACGCCCGGGAGCTAGCCGAGTTACGGCGGCAGAATGCCGAACTCCGGAACCTGAACCAAACTTGTGTGCCGTCCACCCCCACAGCCGTGGAAGAATCTGCCTATCACGCCCCGACTGAGCCGGTAACTCGAATGCCGAGCACCTCATTGATAGCCAACAGGGCCGAAACCACCGTCCATTCCCTAAGACATCCCTTTTCACGGAGAATAATGGAAACAACCCTCATGGATCATTGGAAAAACCTCCCAATTGAAAAATATGACGGAACTTCCGACCCCGACGAACACCTAAATGTTTTCCTGACGCAGGCAACTCTCTCCACCCAAGACGACTCGGCCCTGTGCCGAATATTTCCCACCTCACTGAAAGGAAGAGCTCTAAACTGGTTCACCAGGTTGCCGAACTCCTCCATCGACTCGTTTGCCGAGTTGTCATCCCAGTTCACTTTGCAGTTTGCGACGAGCAAGCCGTACAGGACGACCTCGTTGGCTTTAGCGGGAGTGCGTCAAGAGAAGAAAGAAAGTCTGAGATGTTTCATGGACCGGTTCAACAGGATTGCCATGGAGATCGGTGATCTCAACCCAGCCGTGGCGCTGGACCGGTTGAGCACTGCCGTCAGGCTAGGACCATTCGTCAATAGCTTATGCAAAAAGCCACCTGT